GGGAAGGCATCCCTGCTCCTGCCTGTCCAACCAGCCTTCAAAGCTCAGGTCATTTATTCATTCCACAAACACGGGCTGTTGTGCTCTAATGTAACAGCTGATGCAAAGGATACCTTGACTCAGCAGTAATTGTGTTAGAAAAGTAGTAACTGCAATGAGAAAAGGGGAGTGGTGCTTGGGGTGGGTTCTCAGCTTGCCTATGTTAGAATTCCCTGGGGAGCGTTTTTTGAAAATGTGGAAGGCTGGCCCTACTCCTGGGATTCGGACTGAATCTGGGTGGGGCCCAGGTGATTCCAACATGCTGCCAAGATTGAGACTCTCTGGACTAGGCAGTTTCGAAATTGCAAATACATATTCTTCCTGCAGGAATTTCAATAATAAAGGTTCTTTTCTTTTCGCAGTAGAAATCTCAGGCTCGTGCAGGTAAAGGGCCAGCACCTGAGAGTGGGCTCCTCCCCACCCCCCGCCCGGGGCCTGCCTCACCTGAGCCTTTCCGTGGTGTTCATGATGGCGAACCAGACCGTGGGCTTAGAGACAGGACCAGCGGAAGCAGGGGAAGGAAAAGGATTGGGCAGAAGAGGTGAATTCGATTAACGCACTAAAGAGGAGGAGCGGGGAGCAAAGGGGGCCTTGGGCTGGGCTCCCAGGCGGGCGTTTGGGGGGAAGGGGCCTGCGGAGAAGGTGGGGGCTTCAGCAGTATTTTTGGAAATGATGTCCCTTTCGTGGAGTCATTTTGACATCCATCTCGGTAGCCTTCACCACGTCCTTGGTTCTCTGGCGCCTTCACAACGAGCCATGGAATCAGCGGCTAACCAGTCACATGATCAAGGAGCTGGTCACCAGCCAATGACCTCACTGGAGTTGCCCAGCAACCGCCAGCGTCGCCAGGGCATTGAGTATCTCTTCCGGCTCAGACCCGGAAGAACCGAATGGGTCAGATGGTCAGCTGAGAGAGGAAGCTGGAATGAGGCTGTCCTGGGAGTGTTTATAACCCGGGGTGGGAGAGGGCCCCAGAAACCCCAAAGCTGTCTCCTCAAGGAGATTCGTAACCCTGACCAGACGCTGGTGAAATCACTGGTGAGTTTTCTAGGTGTGCTAATGTGTGTACGTGTTTAAAATAGGGCCCTTATCTTCTGGAGAGCGGAGATAAATGAAGTCCCCCGAGGTGAGACAAGCAAAGGCTATTTATTCAGACCCTGCTCTAGCAAGGAAGTCGCCACTACCGCTTGTGTTTGGTAGACTCGAAGGCAGGCAGAGGAGTGGGAAAAGTTTCTAGAGAAAAAAAAAGGGATGGCTCTGGGCATGCCCTGATGGAGGCTGCTGGCCTGGGGAAGCTGGAGGCTCACGGTCGCCCAGTGGGGCTGGGTAGGGGCGCATGTTTGGCTCTCTCTGGCTGGTCCTAAGTTGGAAGCAGGGAAATTAACTAGAGAAGCTGTCAGTGACCAATCACGTTCTGGCCGTTTTGGACTGATTGTTACGGGGGTTACTGTGCGGCTTCCTCAACGGTTGGCAGAAAGGGCAGTCTGATTTCTGCAGGTCTGACCTACAGCAGGCTGGCTGCCTGGACCGGCTCTTGTAGCTACTGGGTTGCTTCCCGGGGCAGGCCGCTGCAGACAGTGGGTCAGAGCGCTATTTTTATGTAAGGTCTGGCCATTGTCCACGGGGAATCAGCATTCGGTCTCTCAGTGGACGTGGACTAAAACATCTACGGATGAAATGAAATGCTGCCTGGGTTTACTTTGAGATACCCTGGGGCAGGGGCAGTAGGTGAGGGCAGAGCACGAGACCAGGCTGCCAAATGTTGGCTGAAGCAGGTGATGGATCCATGGAGGTTCTCATACTGTTCTCACTGCTTCTGAATATCTTTACGATATTTCATGATAAGCAGTTAAAAACTAACAAGCCGTTTCCAGTCCCTGGCCAACTCGAATCCCCTGTGTCCTGAGGGACACCCCTGCCCCTGTGGGTTTCATGACGCTTGTCCTGATTCCAGGCTCTCCATGCCTTGGAACATCAGCGTGCCCTGTGGGAAGGCTTTGCTTAGTGGTTATGGCTCCATGGAGCCCCTAAATCTTGCAGCCTGTTCCCCCTTCCCAGCCCAGAGCCAGTGCCCAGGACTTAGTAGGTGCTCAGAATTAATCTAAATGAATTAGTCAACCAAGACACCACTAACTGGTTGAATGAAGGCTCCCTGGCCCCATATCTTGGCTTGGGTTTGGTTTTATGGTGTGGTCAGTCTCCCCTCCTGCTGGAAGCTCCAGGGCACGGAGAAGGAATTCGTCTTTGGCTTTCCCATGGCACTGCAGAATAGTGCTTGGCAAACTGTAGGTAATTAGGAAGAATTTCAGAAACCACTTGGAAATGCCTAAAATGAAGATGTCTTGGTTAATACCAGCAACATAAGAGAATTCCTCTTAGGAGGGCAGAGCCAAGATTAGCAGGAGAAAATAAGGTATTTGAAGGTATTACTGCTACTTGCAAAAACGGCCACAAAGACTCCAAATGAGCAGACAATTTAAAGAGGACATTTAACTAGAGGCCTGGCCTGGCAGGCAGCTGCGCCCTGACGGGCCTGCTCTGCTCTTCAGAACCTTTTACTCCTTCACGAGGCCTGATGTCCTTGGCTTTCATCTTCCTTCCCCCCGTATTTCTGAACCAAGGAACCCCAACAAGACACCCTTGAAAGCACTTCGACGTGGTTGGAAATATGTTGACAATTAGCGTAATGAAACCCAGGAGGAATTTCCTTAAACTGCCTCCACTCTGTTGAATTTTATAAACCTAATAAAAGCATCTTTATCCTAGAAATAAGCCTGCCTCTCCCCTAAAAGCTTATCTTCTGCAGAAAGTGAAATGACCACTTTCTTTCTAAAATCATATTCCTACCCGCAAAGGCTGCTGTCCTCCCAAGCTGCAGCCACACGCTGTGACTCGCCCGGGGGTCGCTGTCCCTGCTGCGAGGCTCTCCTTCTCTAATGAGTTGTTGTCACAGGCAAACCTGGGGCTGGACTGTGCCCACGTCTACCTCTCATTTCTGAGAACTGCCCTCCCCCAACCAGGGGCCCTCACGGCCACGTCTGAGCTCCGTGGCTTTGCCAGGCCCTCTCTGCACGCCCCTGACCGTGCCTGGGACACACGACCGGCCGGCCCGGCAGAGCCCCTTTCCTGAGAACTCGGCCTTGAAGCTGCCTTTGTGAGCGGTTTGAACTGAGGACACAGGGGGCAGGGACAGAGTGGCCAGGAGCGTGGCCAAGAAAGGCAGAAGAGAGGAGGAGGAGGAAACTGCAGAGAGAGTGGAGATGAGACATGAAGCGCCTCGAAGAGGTGGAGAGAGGCCGAGGCCCCACTTCCTGGCTGCTGAGCCGAGGAGCTGGCCACCGTCTCCATGCAGGTCCCGGGATCCCTGTGTTCCCCCTTCAGGTCCTCTTTCTTTGCTGGACAGCCCAGTGGATCCCTGCTCCTTGAAACCAAGGGCTGGCCACGAGAGCTGTCCTGCCGGCCACCATTCGGTGGTGGCCCATGAGGCCTGGAAACTCACTTCCGAGTTCTTGGAGGAACAGTGGCCGCACAACCATGTGGTAAAGACCTTGCCCACTGAATGAAGACGAGGACAGGACGCAGCCAGCTCTCAGCTGCAGCCCCTGCAGAGACTGGTGGGAGACCCCGAGTTCTCACGTGGCTGGTGGTCGGGCCGTGGCAGACCTGGATCAGCCATTACACAAAATAAGCCTCTGCTTAGGGCACCAGTGTCCCCACCTCCACCCCGGCAGATCATGCTTTAACTCTTTCACTGCCACACTCAAATTTGCCCAATGTTTGGTAGTTCTGTTTATCTGCTGTGCTCGACTTTAATCCTCATTGTTGAAAAAAAGCTTTCTTTGGCATGGTGACTGAAGTTTATTCGGCTTTCAGGTGCTGTCACGTACGTTTCTGTCTCATGGGGTGACAGGAGACACAGCTGGCTGGGTCTGGCTGGCATTTAACTCTTCAGCTGATGTGCTTGCAAGGGCTTCGTGCCCGGGGTTTGAAGCAGCGGAAGGGCCGAGGGGCCTAAATCAACAGTCCTCGGCCCTGCCTGGCGGCCTCGCGCTCACCAGGTGTGTAGGCACCTCTTAGCGTTCAACGCAAGGTCCTTCCGTTCCCCGCTGTCCCGCCTCACGAACGAGAGAAAGCCTGTGTCTCAAGGAGGAACGCCTGAAAGGGCGCACCCCCTGCTTATCTCCAAAGGGAATTTTGTTTGTTTCGTATTTTTATTTTTTAGAGACAGGGTCTCACTCTGTCACCCAGGATGGAGGTGCAGCAGCGTCATCATAGCTCACGGCAGCCTCCGACTCCTGGGTTTAAGTGATCCTCCTGCCTCAGCCTCGAGTAGCTGGGACCACAGGCACGTGCCACTGCATCCAAAGGGAATTTTGAAGAAATATTTTGAGTTTCTATTTGTATTATAGAGAAACAATGGGATCAAGCCCTATATTTCCCTTTCGAAGACATTTTTCAAATATAGAGCTGGTGGGATTTTAGAAACAGAACCTCCAGGCCTCCTGGGATGCTCCCCCATAGCCGTGTGACAGAGGGACAGAGGGTGGGCACTGTGCCACAGGGTCCCGGGCAGCAGGAGGAAGGTACAGCACACAGGGATGTTCCACTCTGGGCACAGACAGCTGGACGGCTGCCCCTTCAACTCCTGGCCCAGCTCGGCTGGCATACCCTGGCACAGGCCAGCAGGCACAAAAGGAGCAAGCCGGGACCATTCCATTCGGACAGAATAGTGTCCCTCGCTCTGTGAATGATCCTTTGCCACCACAAAACCTTGGCTCAGTACCCACCGGGACTCGGGCCCTAGCTAAGAATCCTCTCCTTCCCGCCACCACATGCCGCTGGTGTCTCATCTCGCACCGGGCATTCTCTTTCACTTAACCCAAAAGGAAATGGGAACCAGCTGGGCACAGGCAGGGAGCACTGCACTCTGGCCCCAGCCCTGCCCCGGGGGCCAGTCCTACCTTGGTTCTCTGATAATGCTTCCTGGCTTCAGCGGTCAGGAAGGACAACTCTCTTACTACCAAGTTCTCCTTGCTGACGAGATTGCTGTTCAGGTGTTTGCAAAGCCACATTGCCTGAAGAAGGGAAAGAGGAAAAGAAAATTTTAAGCAAAAACAATAAATACAAGAATAGCTCCATGAAAATGTCCAGGTCCTTCCCTATTCTAGAAGAGGTTGGCCAGGGAAAGCACAATGACTTCTGGCTGGAGGAAGGCCACCAGGCAGACAAAGCCACAAGGCACATCCCAGCCTAAGGATCCCGCTCGTGTGCTCTCTCCTTCAGCCAGCATGGATCCACATGGAGCTACGAGACGCACAAGTGGCTATACTTTGAGCTGCCCCTGACACCCCTTTCCAAGCTCTGTGGACTATGAGGTTTTAACTCAAGGGAGGTTTAGAACAGGAACTGTGGGGACAGGACCTAAATATGGGTCACAACCCATGCTCAACATTCATTGCTTCTTTAAGATCAGGAGATGACATATTACCGGCAACTGAATGTTTAGTTCATTGATGACTATGTAGTCTGCAAGGGAGGGATACATTTTAAGGAATAACAATGCAATAAAATATTCCCAACACCAAAATAATGCTGACGACCATTTCAGCACTAGGAAGGCCCTTCCAGGTCCCCCGGGTTGGTGTGACCCTTCATTCTTTCTGTTCCTGCTGCTAAGAAACAACCAGTGACAGTATCAGCAAGAAGCCCTTTAGAGCTCTCTGTCTGGATTTTACTATATATCATTTTATATCAGATTTGTGTGTCGCCACAGGGCACTCAGGGGCAAGGACGGCAAATTCACCAAAACTCTTGCAGCTGAAACACCAGCAAACAGCTGTTAGTACCTGCCCTTATCAGGGAAGACGAACTTGATCGCCTTGGCCACATTGGGACTTGGCAAAAGTGGGTCTCTGTACTTGGAATCTGCTCTGCTTTGTCAGTGGCAAATTCCTGCCAGTGACCAGAGAGGAGCTGGGACTGGAAACAGAGCACAGGTGGCCCCAGAAAGTCAAATGTCAAAGACAAAAGCCCTTTACCAAAAGGAGCCCTCACACTGAGCGACCAGACTCTTCTCGAAAACCTGGTTTAACGGGCATGTTTGTCTAAATGCAGACTCAGTCATCCTCACTCCCAGCGTCAGAATCGCCTGGGCAGCACATCTCAACCACTAGTTCTCTGGGCTCTACTGTCCCGGGAGACTGTGATGAGGTCAGTCTCGCGGGGAGCCCAGGAGCAGGCATTTTTCAAAGCACCCTGGTAATGCGGATAACGGGCAGGTCTGGGAGTCCCTGGCTTCTAACAGCGAAACAGTGGGAGTGGCTGGAGTCAGGGGTTGACAGCAGAAAGGAGCGGAAGCTGACAGCCTGATACTGAAGGGTCAGGTAGGAAAACTACAGAGAGACAGACAGACGGATGGGTAGATGACAGGCAAATAGGACAGCTAGTCTAACTCCAAAAGCGGAGCAGATGCAGATGAGTTTGTGTAAGATCAGCCATCTTAGCCACTTTCCAGAAGAAAGCAAGGGG